AAAAATGTGATTTATTCATGCAAGAAATATTACTACGATGTCTGCGATGATCTGAATCGCTACGCTTTAACCCTTAGGCATCGATGGATGGCTATTTTGAGGAGCAAATACTTCAATCATCCTTGGGTAATTTTGTCAGTCATCGCTGCATTCATGCTTTTTGTGCTTACTCTATTACAGACTATTGCAGCTTACCTCTATAAGTAGTCCAAGTGCCAATGCTGAATGTTTTGAAGATTGTTGCCGATGTTGCCATGTCAGCTATTGCAATGAAATCAGAGACTTGAATCATATTCACGGTGTTGAGGGTTTTTTTTTTTTTTTTTTTTTTTTTTTTTTTTTTTTTTTTTTTTTTTTAAAGATGCAAGTTTGCAACCTAGCTACTATATGTAATCTGATATTAGATCGTAATCGTAACTTAATGTTGTACTTTAATTTGTTGTTGGTAATAATCTATTAATGTTAGATGCCTTCAATTCAGATATTAGTGACATATGATATTGTTCATGTTATTGAGGGCCCTCTAATCATCGGGGGCCTGTGCAAGGGAGCTCTTTGCACTCCTTATTCTACGGCATCGAATGGGTTTCTTGGGAACATAGTACCCTTCGTACGTAGTAGGCACTTTTGCACTTTGTTCATGTTAGCAATTAGCATTGTGGCCTCCATTAACCTTGTTTAGGTTTCCATTCTATAAATACGTAAGTCAATCTCCACTTAATTACTAATTTGAGGCATGTGATCATACATATATGTAGACCCTGGCCTAAACCTAATATTATCTTAAACCCTAGGAGCATATTTGGTAAGAGTGTTTTTTGGGATGGAAACACCTTCAATAAACCATAATTGTTATTAATCAAGTGTTTCATTAAAAGGCTTGGGTAACAATTACGTACCATTACATAGGAATAATGGTTTCCATCGATCTATTTGCTACCTTTTTAAAACCTAATATAATAATTACCCTTACCCTCTTCAAAGAAAAAGAAAGGGAGTTAGGTTTGATCGATTCCTTTCCAATGTTAAACCAAACAAATAAAAGAGAAGTGTTAAATGATTAATTTTCAGTTTCCTCTTATTTTTTAACTTTCCATTCTATCTCCAACATTCATACCGAATGCCCCTTAAAACTTAACCGAATAAGGCAGCTTAAGGGTTCCTTAGAAACATCCTCCCACACCAAGTTAGCATTGCTGTTTGTGCATGTTACAGTATTGATCATCTCACTTCCCAAATCAACGTTTTTTACATCTCACAAGTCAATGGCTACGAATAGTAATACCAAACAATTATAGAGATAAGTCACAAAAAAGACTAGAATTATCAAGTTTTTATTAGATTATTAGTATTCATATGAACAAGACTTCGTATATCATTGTTTAGACTTGTTCAAATGAAGTGGTTTTTGTTTTTCTTCCTTCCCGCAAGTTAAGCGATTTTAGTTGATCCGAGACACTGATTATTTTAGTCTTTTATTACTAGCTAGCCAATGGCTGGCAATAAATGGACAGTTTGGGCACAGGGTGTACTTTAATAAACGAAAATCTAATTCGATCTATATGTAGTACTAATATTGGAGCAAGGTTATTTACTTATTACTATTACAGTTTTATTTATTTTTTATTTACTTTTTTAAGTGTACCATTTTGACAAACATATTTGCCAATGTAAAACTTTGATTAATATTCCAATAATACGCGATACACAAATTTTTATATGTGTCTAGCCACATAGTCTGGCCACATCACATATATGGCAATTAATTAAGTAATAAGGATCACGGTGGTGAGCAAATGGAGTTACCTTGACATATGTGGGTTGCTTAAATGAAAAAAAAAGGTTACTCTCGTAAATAAGTGAAATAATTCTTTCATTTTTTTAAACAAAAGAATAGGAGTTTACTCAAATGCATAAATAATGGGGTTACTTATTTGTAGATTACTTAATATAACTCGGTTAATGAATTTGGGTTACTCTTGATGGATTATGGGAATAATCTAATTATGTTAATAATATTTTGTATATTATTTAGTTTGTATTTATCTAGTTTAACCTAGTTGTAAGTTGTATATATATATCTAGAACCAATGTGTATCTAGTTTGTATATATGTAGAGCGACGAGTGTCCAAACAACTCTTATGAACAAATAAGGTTACTCATACATATAAATGAAGATTATTCTTATAAATAAATGTGGCCACATCGTGTGGCTAGCTACATACAAGACTTACCGTATATGATTAGTGCAAATAGTAAAAAATAGACATTCGAAAAGTACATATTGAGACGATTCTCGATCAAGTACTACCAATATGACTATTTTTAATCCTCCATTCCCTCTGTTCCATAATAGTTAACATGATTGTCTTTTTTTTTCTCCACTTTGACTATCAATATCTTTAATGATGTATCAATATTTATAATAAAAACTTGATATTCCAATTATATACAACTTATGGAGTATTATTAACATTTCCATTTTCTTGTCAAAAAAAAAAAAAAAAAAAAAAAAAAAAGCCATTTCATTTTATATAAAAGATGGTCAAAGTTATGTAAAAAAGTCAAGCGAGACTATGGAAAATGTTAAAGTGGGGCACTAAAAACTGTGAGGAGTGACTATTATTCCTGACTCATTAATCCTATTCGCTAAGGAAAAAAAAAATAGCTAAATAATGGAATTATGAATTAACATTATTATTTACGCAATTAATTATACCGATTAATGTATAATTTATTAATTTTACAATCTTTTAGTATTTTATAAGAATGCATAAGAGATTTACGGTTTTTAACCCTTAGGCCTTAGGTTGGATCATTGACTTCAAATAACCAACCATCTATGGAGCTTAAAATTAAGGTTAACAGGTGGTCGATGTGGATTGATTGGATGGAACTTAAAATAATTAAGTCCTCATACTAATAAACTATTAATACGACATTAATGCAAATAATTAATGGGAACGTATCAAATTATAAAAAAATATAAAAAATAAATAAATAAATAAAATTCTAGTGAGCTGTACTAACGTGCTATCCTTTTTCCTTAGAAAGAAATGTACTATCCTTTTAAATACAATGGAAGAATTATTTCATTTGTATTCATTAACATATTTCATCTCATTTAATTTTCTTTTTATTTAGTTCGCTTTGTAGTGCAATAAACTCTTGTACTCCTTCAAGGGAAAGTATCTGGTACGTTGTTTTTCTTTATTTTTATGAATTTTTTCTATGCATTTCAGTGATCGTTGGTTGAACATATAACTATTTTGAGTAAACAGTTTTTCTTAATTTGCTATTCAACGTAAGCCAAGTACTTATACAACCAATTTATAGACCAAGGCTATCTAGCTACTACATGGGAACATTGGGAATGATCAAGGGATAAGAGAACAGGTTATGAATTTTGGTAATTGTATGTTTTAGATTAACAAAAATTGTCAAAAAGAACCATTTTTTGTGAAATATGGCCTTTTAGTAACACAATTTTTTTTTTAAAAAAAGAAGTGTTAAATAATTAGAACCTTACAATAATTGGGTGTGACTTGTGAGATAAAACCTTTTGCCCGACTACGACCATTATCCTTTGTTTTCCTATATTGACTAGATAAAAGTTCCCCAATTATCCCACTTTTTCCTCCCATAATTGCTTATCAAACTAACCTTTCTTAGATTTTCACTTTTGAAGATCGATTATGGCCGGTTTTTTAGTTGCATAAAAGTAAGCACAAAAACTCAAACCTTCTCCTCGTCATATCGAAATTAAATCAAGTTGATGACCACGGCACTATTTCAAAATGGAGGGACCATTCAGTATTTATAATATAATTTATTATGAAGTTGGACATTATTATATTTTTTTTTTACAATGTTGGGATTATTTTGGGCGAATGAAATAAAGTTGGGATTCTTTTGGAAATTTTTCAGTGCTTATTTAAAGATAGTTATGATCTGTGTTTTGAAGAATATATATAAGTAATAAATGAAATAAGCAATGTGAAATGTAGAAAGTTAAAAACAATTGGAAACAAATATTGAAGACTAGCTTAGGTCTCGTACAATACATGATAGATCTTTTTAAATTTTATAATGAATTACAACTATTTATCCCTATATATAGTTGACACATTTTGAATGACAAAAGGTTTACAAATCTAATTGGCTTTTTATTTGTTTTTTAGTGATTAGTTGTAGAATGATCGATGATTTTTTTTATCTTTTTAAAATAGCTAGTGGGTATTTTTTTAATCAAAAATCCCCATAATATTTTATGTATGCAAAAAACCAATATTTATGTTGAAATTTTTTTTAAAAGATAACATGCACTTAATTTTCTAGAGGTAGTTGCTAGCTTTTTATGCATTTTTATTGAAGTTGGGAAAGTAAAAACACATCTATAACAACTTATACTTGTTTGTATGATCAATGCAGATGGAAAACAATACTCTAGAAATAGAGATAGAAAGGCCAGATGAAAAGAACGGGGTGGAAACTTCAATGGAAAACAAGTTGGGAAGCTTGCTTTCTGTTTCCGATAACAAGTGTTGCATTTATAAGGTCCCTGAATTTATCTTGAAAGGAAATGAAAAGTTTTATCGGCCTTTAGAAATGTCTTTGGGTCCCGTCTACTATAAGGATGCAAAACTAGAAACCATGCAAGAAGTTAAGTGGATTTACTTGAATAGCTTCCTTCAACATCCCAACAATGCTTTTCCGAGACTGAAACCTTACATCGATTTTGTAAGGATAAAGGAAAAGAAAATCCGCGACTCATATCAACAACCAAGTAGACTCTCTAGTGACGAGTTTGTTGAGATGATAGTGCTTGATGCTACATTCTTGGTGTACCATTCCATGTGTCTTTTCAATCTTGCATTTGATAGACCTTACATTGAGAATAAACTATGAGTACTAATGCCTTATTTGATAAAAGAGTATTATCGACGGTAATAAAATCACGGATGAATCAAGCATTGAACATTTGGTGGATCTTCAAAGGATGTCTTGTTGCCTTTCTTTGAGCGTATCAACAAATAAAAATAATCAAACAAGATCAGCCGCCAACTCATCACCATCAGTTTCATACATACACAAGGCATTGTCTTTTTTCTTTCTATCATCATTATGTTGTATAAAACTACTACGTCGGAATCAGCATCATCTCAAGAGGGATGAAGCCGAAGCTGATGGTACTAATCTTATTCGTCGCCTTTGTTATTCTGCCAAGCAACTAAAAGACTCGGGAGTCACATTCGTGGCGAGTAGTGAAAGTGATAATCCACTCGATATTACATTTGCTAATGGGAAGTTAAACATAACGAAATTAGAAATACACGACAACACGGAAACTTACTTGAGGAATTTGATATATTTTGAAAAGTGTCATCATCTAGGCAGTTCTTACTTCATTGATTATGTTATATTCATTGATGCATTGGTAGATACCGTGGAAGACGTGCAAGTGCTGGTTAAAAACAAAATTTTGAGTAATCATCTAGGAAGTGATGAAGATGTTGTAAATCTTTTCAACAATATTGGCAAAAAAGTGCCTGTGTCATACGAGGTTTACTCCGATGTCAGCGATGCTCTGAATCGCTACGCTTCAACCCGTCGTAATCGATGGATAGCTATTTTGAGGAGCAAATACTTCAATCATCCTTGGGTAATTTTGTCAGTCATCGCCGCAATCATACTTTTTGTTCTTACTCTATTACAAACTGTTGCAAGTTTCTCCAACAACTAGATAGCTAGCTAACTCTTAAGCTCTATATCTTTAGTGTCAATTCTGATTACTTTTTTTTTTTTTTTTTTTGAAGAAAAAAAAAACATCAGAATTCTGATGTTTTGAAGGTTCTTGCAATAGAGATTTCAACAATGTAAACGTTGTTGAGTATAAGAATTTTTTTAAACTTGCTACAAATAATTCAAGATGCAACTTACTTTTGGCAACTACTTCGTATAATTTTTAGATCGTTTTCGTATTTTATTGTCGTTCATTCATTATTATTGTTATATATATGCCTCAAATTCTTATCGTGACATATTCCCTCCGTCCCTAATTTTTTGCCCCATTGCCAAAATGTGGGTCAAACTTTGCAAACGTTGACCGTAAATTCTCATTGTTCTTCAAAATGAAATATAGTCATGTGGGATTTTGTTTGATCCGTCTCTTTGTAAATTTAATTAATATCAAATTTATATAATTTTTACGCGTAAAAAAATGGAGATATAAATGTTTTAATACGTGTCTTGGAGATCGTGCAAAGTCAAATGGGGCAAAAATAAAGAGACAGATGGAGTAATAGTATTGGGAAAAAACTTGCGTAAACCTTAAGTTTATACGCACGCAACTAATGTAATATGGAACATACTAAAAATAATTTTAACATAGTAGCCTTGTTTTTAACCCAGTAACATTTATTATAACTTATGTGACCTTTAATATTATTGTGAAATTAAAAAAGTTTGAATCTTAATTTATACATAGAATTGAGCCCCAAAACTTAATTAATTAGGTTAACACGAACTATTGGGTGCGGCAGTCCGCATCAGTTTTTCGTGCGGCAGAGAAGGTATATGTGACGAATGACGACGACGATGACGATGGTGTCATATGGTGCGATTTGGTGGTGGTGGTTTCTGACTTTCTGGTGAAAGAGGTTGAAGAAGAAGATGGAGGTGGGTAAAGAAGATGAGGTAATAAAAGGGGTAAATTTGGAGGAAGAGGTAATTAATGTTGGGGAAGACGAAGAACTGCTGAATTGTTCAGAATTGTAGGTGTTGTGATTTGGAGTTGAAATGTGTTGTAAATCCACCATTGTTGCTGCTTGCTTCAAGTGAGGGAATTTCAGTATGGCTATTTTTGGGGGGAGGGGGGGTGATGAAAGAAGAATAGAAGAAAAGAGGAGAGAGAAAGACAGACAAACAACAGGAGTTTTAGTTGGCGATAGTGTTAGTTGCAATTTATTTTTTAGTATATCTCTGTTACTCACTGTGAGAAATAATTGTACCACCGTGATTAAAGTGATACAATTTTATCATCTATTTCGTAAATAAAATGTATCACCGTGACTAAAGGGGTACATTTTATTAATGTTTCTCACAGTGAGTAATGGGGGCGCCATCTTTTTAGAGACTCCCAACTTCAATTTCACCCTATTAAGACCAAAATAAATAAATAAATAAAATGGTTTTGCAAAATAAATACAAATATCAGCCAATAAAAGAAACATATCAGCCAATTGATATATGATATTAGGAACATATCAGACATTAATAAAAACATATTAGTCGACAGAAGGAACATATCAGCCAACAAATGAAGCATATTAGCCAACAAAAGCAACATGTAAGCCAACAAAATAAACATATTAGCCACCAAAATGAAACATATAAGCCAACAAAATATACATACTAGTCAACAAAATAAAGATATCAACCAACTAAAGAAACATATCAGTCAACTGATGTCTGATAGCAGCCAACAAAAGAAACATATCAAACATTAAAAGTAAAATACCAGCCAACAAAAGGAATATATCATCCAACACAAAAAACATATCAGCCAACAAATGAAACATATCAGTCAGGCCTGCCACTACACCACCTAATTATGCGTACGACGGTCCGCACACGATACCTTCTCTTAAGTCAAAGGGTGAACCGGGTGGAACTCAAAAAAAGTAAAAGATGTAGAATAATATTTTATATAATACTCGTAAAAGATATAGAAAATATGTGAATTTTTTTTAAGAAAGTGAATCACAATTATATAAAGAAGTGATTTTTTTTTTTTTACTAAGTGAAAATCTACCTAATAAAAAAATATTTTGAAAAATTACATAATAATAAGTAAAATATTGTAGAAGAACACCTCTAGTCAGATTTCCACTGTTGACCGATTTTTGAGTTGAAAGTTAGTGGTTTCATTTTGGACACACCCCTACCCATATGCTAGTTAAATACTCTATAGGGCGTAGGTTAATAACATTAATAGAAAAAATATTGGATTAATAATTTATTATACAGTAAGGGTTGTGAGATAAAAAAAATTAAAAAAAAAAAAAGTTAAAGTAGGGAACTATATAAGAAGAGAGAGATATAATAATGGCCCTAAATGGAAAAATTATGCACTTAAAAAAATGATGCATTTAACAAAATTTGACCGAGTTAAGCACTTTATAAGACTAAAGATTCTTTAATTGCTATTTGGTTTTGGGATAAAACCCTCTTAATTGGACTAATAAAGTGAACTCTCTTTATTGATAATGTGTGCGACTCAAGTCCTTATTTAGCGTAGTATTAGAGTCATGCCTAGGGTTTGAGATTTAGGACTTTAGGCTAAAGAGTTACTTCATGCGAGGGAAACTACTTCTAGCATATGATTTTGCGATAGGTTTCTTTGGACTTATAAAATTAGACTCTCTCTAATGTTGAAAGGCACGGCTCAGGATCGTAGTTAATACATCATCTCTTAACAATTAACATTTACGATAGAGGGAATATATTTAATTTAATAACTTGAATGGATTAAAGAAGTATTTCTAAATCTTACAATTGTGGAAAAGAATACAATTTTATTCTTTAACTAATATCGTTGCATTTACTTTATCATATTCTTATTTGCTTTGTTTGAACGTTACTTTTGATTGTAAGTGTAAAACAATATTATTGTCAAGCTGAAGCTGGAAAGCAGTATAAAAAGAAAACCAGTCCAATGTACAGAATTACACATAAATATAATAATTTTAAAGCTTACTAAATATTTTTCATTCAAAGTTTATTTTTATTTCACTCTCTTCGGGTACCTTGCGAGGCGCAGTGTACGTGTTTAATCCAAGTGTTGCTACAGCTTTGCAATTTGCCGTAAGTCCCCACAATTGCTTTTCATATTTAACTTAAATATGGAGTTTTTTTAATATGTTGTCTTACTTTTTATTAAGAAATTAATATGAATGTAAGATAAGCTTTGAATTTAATATGCTTTGATTTACTTTTTAGTTTGTCACATTTAGTTTTCCCCATAATATACTCCCTATAATTGAAGGAGTTGAGAATCGCTCTGATATCCCCCTTACATTGGTCATGTTTTCTTAATCAGGTATTAATTTAACTTAATTACTTAATAGCTTGTTTGACATCGTTTTTTGCTTTCAGTTTTCTGTGTTTTTGAAAATAAAAAACCAAAAACAAGAAATAAGAAAAAGGTATTTTCATTTTTCTATTGTCAATTTTCAAAATTATTTTAGTTGAGCTGTTGAAATTATAAATAGATGAAAGGGGAAATTATAATACTACGCTTAAATTAACTTGTATTTAATCCATTGAAAACCGTATCGTATAACAACAAATATTACGAGTATATATAGCAAAACTAGCAAAAAGTTAGGAACATGTATGATCCCATGATCATTAATCCATACTGCTCTTTTGACTCTACTAATACAAACTTATAACTTAGGATAACATATTCCTTTACATTAGGGGTTAACTAACCACTAATAATTTAAAGCAAATATTCCAACACACAGTACCCTTAATAATTTAAAGCATGCTCTTTTTGAAGTTAAATTATTTTCATCGATTAAAATTTATTGTCATTGTTCTTTAAAGTTATTTATTTAACTAAATTGAAACCTTTTTTTGTTTTTTTTTTTTGAAAACCCAAATCGAAACTTTTTTTAAAACTAAATCTAACTTTTTTTTTTTGTTGAAGTAACTATTTTACTAATTTAATTATTTTTATTAAATACTCTCTCTGTTTTATAATTTTCTTCTCGTTTTGATTGTGTACATTGTCAATGCATTACTTTGACATAAATATTTTAATTTAATTAGTTGCAAATTTGTAAAAAGTATGACAATTAAATATTGATAAGCTATTCATTTAGACGAATTAAGTAAAACCCAATATGGTTACATTATGCTCCATGTATTGAGAGCAATTTAAAAGATTTTCTCATCTTATTATAAATAATTATAATAAGCTTCTAAATGGAAAGCAAAAAACGAAGCACAGATTATATTTTTTAATGGGGAAAAAAATATGGCCTTAGTGCCACCAATTTTTATTTTTTTTAAATTAACCCCCAAACTTAAAACTAAAATTAAATTTTCAGTTGAGGTAAATTGAATTTGATGAAAGATTGAATGGTATAAGAACTATAAGGTGAAGCATATGTTATCATTGCTATGCTTCGTATGTTGGGGATTGGAAAAATCTACTCCATGTATTGATTACGTTCAATACTTATTGATAAGTATATATATAGTGCTTTGGAATAAAATTATTTGAATAAACTAGACATATACTTACATTATACAATTAATACAGATGGAAAACAACACTTTACAAAATGAAATAATAGTGCAAGATGAAAACAACGGGGTGCTAACTTCAATGCATAAGAAGCTGGACTCCTTGAATGTTTCCTTTAACGAGGATTGGTGCATTTATAAAGTTCCTGAATATTTGTTGAAGGGGTATGAATATTTTTATCAGCCTTTATTGATGTCGATTGGTCCCGTATTCTATAAAGATCCAAAACTAGAACCCATGCAAAAGGTTAAATGGATTTACTTGAAAAGGTTCCTTCAACATCCCGAGAATGCTTGCCAAAACTTGAATCCTTACATTGATTATGTAAGGGATAAGAAAGGAGAAATCTGCAGATGTTATCAGCAAGAAAGTAGGCTATCTAGCGATGAGTTTGTTGAAATGATAGTGCTTGATGCTGCATTCCTGGTCTACCATTGCTTGATGAACTGGTTTTACTCGTTTGATGAACCTTTAGTTGGGAATAATTTAATAGCACAAATGGCTTATGCGAATAATGATTTATTTCGGTTGGAGAACCAAATTCCTTATTTTGTTCTCAAGGGATTCTTTCATATAGCATTTGGTCACATCTACCCACCTATTACTCTTATTCGTGCTACTCTTACCTTCATAGACAGTCTATCAAGAGTACTATTGAAGGTAATAAAATTACAGTTGAATCAAACATTAAACATTTATTAGATCTGCAAAGGATGTGTTGTTGCCTTTCTTTGAGCGCACCATTGCACAACCAACCAAATACAAATCCAATAACAGCCGATTCAGATTCATACATACACAAGGTCATGTCTTGGATCTGTCCGTCATCATTATATAATAGGCTGCGTAAGCGTCATCTCAAGACGAAAGCTGATTATAATTCTTTTCGTCATCTTCGTTACACTGCCAAGCAACTAAATGATGCAGGAGTGACATTTGTGGCAGGTGAAACTGACAATCCACTTGATGTTACATTTGTTAACGGGATACTCAGGATTTCGAAATTAAATATATATGATGAAACAGAATCTCACCTGCGGAACTTGGTTTATTTTGAACAGTGCCATTATTTGAAAGATACTTACTTCATTGATTATATTTTCTTCCTTGATCAATTGATAGACACCGTGGAAGACGTGGAAGTGTTAGTTAAAAACAAAATTATATGTAATGATCTAGGAAGTGATGATGATGTTGTAAAGCTTTTCAACAATATTGGCAAAAATGTGATTGTATCATGGAAGAATTACTACGATGTCAGCGATGATCTGAATCGCTACGCTTCAACCCGTAGGCATAAATGGATGGCTATTTTGAGGAGCAAATACTTCAATCATCCATGGACAATTTTGTCAGTGATCGCTGCAATCATACTTTTTGTGCTTACTTTATTACAGACTATTGCAGCTTACATCTACAAGTAGTCCAACTGCCAATGCTGAATGTTTTGAAGATTGTTGCCGATGTTGCCATGTCAGCTACTGCAATGAAATCAGAGACTTGAATCATATTCAGGGTGTTGAGGTTTTTTTTTTTTTTTTTTTTTTTTTTTTTTTTTTTTTAGAGATGCAAGTTTGCAACCTAGCTACTATATGTAAATCTGATATCTGATCGTAATAGTAACTTAATGTTGTACTTTAATTTGTTGTTGGTAAATCTATTAATGTTATATGCCTTCAATTCGGATATTAGTGACATATGATATTGTTTACTTCAATTTATTATTTTAACATGTTTAGACATACCAAGTTGCAACCTTTCGTTTTTGAGACACAGTATCTGACTACTTCGAGTTTTTACATGATTTTTTTTCTTTTTTCTTTTTTTACACTAGACTCTATAAACATTGAATTTTTTTCTTTTTTTATGATGATTTATGAAAATAATCACCCTATCATGCAATGTCTTCTAAGTTCTAACAAAACATTAAAGAGTGCACTTGTATGACTTATGTAAATGCAGATGGAAAACAAGGAAGTACAAAGAAATAACAATGTCGGATCAAATGAGTAGAGAGCGAGGAAAAAAAATCAATGTGAAACAAGCTCGGATCATTGTCTTTAGTTACCACTATTTAGTGCAGAAGGATAAACAAGAATGCTATCTATCATCCTTTACACATCTCAATTGGTCATGTCTACTATAACAATAATAACAGCTTTGGACTTTACATGGACACTGTAAGAAACAGGGAAAATGAAATTCGTGAGTGTTACCAACACAAAATGATACTGCTTGATGCTGCATTCATTATTTACTATTACATGGAGTCTTATAGTCCTCGCATAAAATTACCTCCGTTGGAGATTGGACTCATCATGAGCTGGCCACAAATCTTCTTTACTAGACTGAAAGTCTAACTGGCTAATACAAGAGGGGGGGTGAATTGTATTTGAGGTGAAATCTAAAAACTTTTGCGGAATTTAACTAAATGAAATAATGACAAGAGAAGATATAGGCTTTTCTAAATTTCCACTATGTAATCAAACTCTTTACAAGTGAAGATTCTAACCCGTTAACAAGTTCCACAAATTAGGAACTTGTTCCCAACTCTCACAGAAGCATTCAGCAGCGAAGCTTCCTTGACCTCACTTTACAAACTCACAATCCCAACCCCAAAGTACTTGAATACAATCTGTGATTACAAATACCTATTGCACTCAAGAATATAAGAAGGATAATAACTCTCTTTATGTTATTAGATGGCTACTGGAATTTTTATGCTCAAGAGTTATATTTTTCTGAGATAGTTTGCATGAGTATTTATAGAGAAGGCTTAGTCATTAACCTCCACTATAATCACGTCCACATGCCAACACCCCACTAACAACTTGTGGAGTTATCTTGACAGATGGTGATCATGAAGGAGATTTCCTAGCCTTATCTTACTAATCCACTATCTCAACAACTTGATAAACATTAGCTTTGATAAAACCGTATAATCAGAGATTTTCACAACAAAGAAAACTGCTTGTTAACTTTATCAAAAGTTTGTTTAAAAAGATTTTATTTTAAAAAGGATTTTATTTGAAAAGATAAATTAATTATTTATATTAAAACAACTAGATAATTATCTTTATTCGAAATTAGATGACTAGATAAAACTTTTATAAATCATCTTTTTTCCTTAAGAAATTATCTTTTAAAACTAACTTTTATTCCAGTAGTCTTTTTAATAACATAAGTCATTGAGTTCCTTTCCGACTTTATATTATTGAGTGCTCACAATTAAAACTAGAACGTGAGATTTGCACGAGGCTTTTTAGAGAATGCTACTCCGCATCCAAGTTCCTACTCCGGAACGAACTTTGCTTGAACCCTTTATTCACCAAAGACTCAAAACATTCATTAGTCGAGTTTGTCAATTTGTCCATCAAAACCAAAAGGCTCAACAAATTCCCCCTTTTTGATGATGACAAACATTGACAAACTTAGGTAAATAATCCAGGCATGCAACAAAAATTTAAAGCAAAACATGAAAACAAAAAAACCAAACAGAGTAATTAAAGAACTTAGAAAAATACTAAAAAGTATTTATTTTAAAAAGACTGAGCAAAAGAAAAATTAACAAAGACTTTAAAAACTTAGATTACTAGGACTTTATTAAGTTAACTGAACTTAGCAAAAGTTTGTACCTTCGATGTGTGAGTTCCTTGGTAAACACCTTAGCCGCCATGAAGTTTGTCTTTTCCCCCTTTTGGCATTATCAAAAGATTGAAAAAAAACATTTTGCTATACTCCCACTAGACTACGTAGGGAATAGTGAGCTCAAATAATGCAAGGCAAAAATAAGTTAGGTACTAAATTATCAGCAAACACACACAATCATATGAAAAATACGAGCCAAGTTCCCATAAACGAAAATCAAAAGCAGGAAAGAGTAGCAAGAGTTAAGAATTACAAACTGAAATCCAAATGAAACAAGCAAAAGCAAAAGAAATTAAAAGTGACAAGTTCGAAATTGCAATTATGGGGAATAGGTAGGTTCATCAGCTGGGTTTATTGGGTCATTAGAAGCTTCCTCCACTTCTTCAAAAGCCACCCTGTTAATCGTCTCCAATATCTCCTGAGTGCTGTGCAGTATGTTCTTCTCAGCAGCATCAAGCTTGTTCTCCATTCCAGTAAAACTAGTTGCCTGAGTGTCTGCCACAGCCTGCACTTGGCGTTGAAGAGAAATCAGCTGCTTTGCCATTTCCTCTAGCTTTGTGCTCACTATCTTTATCAGCTGCTCCATTTCTGCTTTCACCTGTTGAATATCAAAAATAGAAGCATTTGTTCCAGACAAGGCAGCAAAGCCTGTAGCCTGTGATGTAGGAAAAGTTGGGGAGGGAGAGGGAGAAGTCTGTTTTGGAGGTGAAACAGGAGTGGAAGAGGTTTTAGCTTGTTTTGGGGGGAGTCATGAACAAAAGATGGCTCAGAAGCAAAAGGAACTTGTGTAGGGGTAAAATCAGGGTCAGAGTGATCTGAAGAACTAATGTCTTCAATAATCACAGGCTTTAGAGTAGAAACAGTAGGTTTGACAATTTTCCTCTTACTCCTCCTGAGTTCCCCTTTAAACACAGGGAGGTCAAGACTCTCACTTTCTGAACTAGATTCCCCCTCACTCTGAGTCTCCTCTTCTTTCTCAGATTCTGCCTCCTGTGGTTCCCCCTCAGAAATTTCTTCCTCCTCTTTGTCTTCCTCTCCTTTTTCTTTACTTTCTTCTTTTTCAGATTCACTTTCCTCCTCTTCTGACTCACTTGTATCTCCCTCTACAACCTGTGTTTTCCCTTTTCCACTATTTTTCTCCTCTCCTCCTCTAGTCAAGAAAGTAATTATCCCACTCTCAAGTTTAAGGCTCAGGCGAAGCAAAGATTGCTCCGAAAGAATGTTCTCAGGTTTAATATAAGTGGGTGACTCACTTTCAACATCAATCCCAAAAGACTTAAACAACACAGTAAGGAGAGATCCATATGGAATAGTAGTTTTAGCAGCATAGAAAACCAAATGTTCAATCATTAGTTTTGGAAAGTTTATTTTTATTTTCCGAGCAAGACAAAAGATGATGGTTGCATCTAGTAAGGATATTGTGCTTCGTTTTTGCAAACGGGGAACAATGCCTCTCCATGTGAAATTGAACAGTAATTTGTGAAGAGGAGTGAGTATGTTATGATGTGAAGTCTTGCTTTTCGGGTTTCCACCTATAAATTTGATTATTCTATTCTCATCATAATGCCCAATTTGCACAATTTGTTTGTGTTTTAGGTACGAACTATAGCCAGAGGTGGGGACTTGAAACAAGTTCCCTAAATATGCAACATCAAAATGAATGTGAGTATCTTTGACTGTAGCCGTGCATACACCATTGTTGTGTTTGAAAGTATTTTTGAATTCAAACAAAAGCTTAGGGTAAATTGGATAGTGAGAACAATTTTGGAACAAATGCACCCATTCTTGATAATCAATTAAGGAGATGAATTCGGAGAACTTACTTGCCGTACACCAGTCATAATTGATGTGATAGCCGTGAGTGTAGTTCCAAGATGGAAACTTTTGAGAGCTTCGCCTCTTTCTGTCGCCTCCTTTCACGGTTGTAGCCTTTCGCTTTGGTGGAGCTTGTGGGTGAACAACGGCAATTGGGTCTGGTTCAGGAGAGCCGTCAGCAGAGGAAGGTTTGGGAGGAGGTATTCGGGTTTTTGGTGGTTTCGGTGTTGAGTTTAGGTTGGTTTTCATGGTTATGAAGGTGAGTTGAAAGGAAGGAGAAGATGAATAGTGTGAATAGGAAGGAGAGAGAGTGAGGCCGGTTTTTATGAGGGTGTATGGAGAAGTTAATTTGATGTGATTGGTGAGGGTGGAGTGTTAAAGAAAAAGAGTTTAATTGGGAAGGGTGAGAAAAAGTGACGGTTTATATGGTGAGGTAGTAGAGTAGTTTTAGAGGTAGTAGGATTTTAATAGGGTGGATTAATTGCAATAGTCAAACTTAACACAATAAAAGATAAACTTTTAAAAGATAAGAAATATACGGAAAGTAAGGAGTAGTGAATATACTAGCTCCTTATCTTACGAAAAAAAAATCTTTTTGTATTTTTGAATTATATGAGGAATAGAAAAAGAATTGAACATAAAAAAAAAATAAGGAAGGAAAAAGATAAGAATAAAAAAATAAGGAAGGAAAAAAGATAATAACAAGAAGGAAAACAGATAAAAAAAATTTGAAAAGATAGATAAGTGCAAATTGATCGTAAATTTTGTTGATAATTTACGTGATCATAATACAGAGAATAAAGAATGATGAAAAGGGAACTTGAAACAACATGGCTCAATATTTTTAACATATTAAAAGTATGTATAAGTGACTTTTCAATATTTCACAGATCTTTCCCCTGGGTAATTTCAGCTGTGTTATGCACACAAGATTGAGCATAGCATTGTTAGTTACATCCGATTTTACCTTAGGGGTTCCAAACAAAAATCACTTTAGCCGTAGCATCCCCAATTCCACACGCATCTTTTCAAAGTTGTCTCTGCTTAGAGGCTTAGTTAATATATCAGCAATTTGACATTCAGTAGAAATAAAATCTAGCTTAATTAAGCCCTTTTCAACATTATCTTTCAAAAAGTGATGCCTTACATGTATATGCTTAACTTTAGAGTGTTGTACTGGATCTTTAGAGATGCAAATGGCACTTGTGTTATCACAATGAATAGGAACGCACTCTAAAATAATGCCATAGTCACGCAATTGTTGTTTTATCCATAGCAATTGAGAGCAACATGCAGCAGCAGCCACATATTCTGCTTCGGCAGTGGATAGAGCAACAGTGTTTTGTTTCTTGGAACTCCAAGAAACCATGCAAGAGCCTAAGAATTGGACCATACCTGACGTGCTTTTACGATTTACTAAATCTCCTGCATGGTCAGCATCAGCATATCCTCTTAGGTCAAACGAGTCACTTTTTGGATAGAACAGACACAAGTCATCCGTCCCTTTTAAGTATCGTAGAATCCTTTTGACGGCTGTTAGATGCGATTCCTTTGGATCCGATTGAAATCTTGCACAAAGACCTACACTAAACGAAATGTCAGGTCTGCTAGC